GGGGGAGCGCGGGGGGGGTGGTTGTGCGTGGGGGGGGGGGGGGGGGGGGGGCGAGTGCATTGGCTATCAGCAGACACTGTCACTCTGTCCTGAATGACAGTATCTCTTTAAGTGAATCTGCCAGAAGGGTAATACGGACAATGCCAATGTTATTTTCAAAGGGGCATGCTTAGGGGCTATCACATTCTTCCCTCGCTATTTCAGGTAATCACTGACATGAGACATGCAGACATGCACTTATTAGGAGCCCCAACACTTCACTGGGTACATGCTCAATTCAGTTTTGTGAGTCATCCAGTAGTAAAGGGAGGATAAGGACGACCGCTTCAAGGATGCATCTTCAAAAACAAGTCTGCAATAGCAACTCTCTTTTTACAACCTTGGTTCTTTTGATATCATTTTTATGTAACGTACGCTTGTCAGGCTGAACTGAGCTTTCAGGAGTCCTGTAGGTTGTACCATGTGCATCTCTATCAAAACAGTTTCTTAAAGGCACTGTTCATAGGAAAAATATCGTCTTTTTGAGCTTGCATAATTAGAATGGACAGTCATAGCATGTGTACAATTATAATGTATGCAGAGAGGGGTGGAGTTGCCGCTGCCTGAACCGTAGAATTGCAGACTCTCGGTTACCTGATTCCTGTACAAGTTCCTGACAACAACAGCAGAAGAGCTTGTTGTATCCAAGCAATGACAGAATTGAAAAACAAAAACCATGAGCAGGTATGCAGTTTCCCATGCTCAATTGGCCTATCTGTAAGCGACGCTTTAAATCGCTAAAGACTTTTCCATGAATAATAAGCCCCTAGTGAACTTTGACAATATCTTCATGAATATTAATACTGGCAAATATTTGCACCTTATCTGTAGTCTGCATGTAACAATAGCCAAGTTTAAGACCTGGCTGGAAACAGGTTGATGTATATTGTTTTCCTCCACAGGTCTATGAAGAAAAACAGAAGCGTTTTGAGCAGGAGATGGAGGACCTACGTCAGAACTGTGCCCTCAAAATGAAGCAGGCTTCTCAGAAGGCGCAGAGGATGCAACAGGTTTTACAACTGCAAATATTTCAGCTGCAGCAGGAGAAAAAGAAATTACAGGAGGACTTTTCACAGCTTCTCCAGGAGAGGGAGCTCCTTGAGAAACGCTGTGCTTCATTTGAGAGGGAGCAAACGGAGCTTGGTCCACGGCTGGAGGAGACAAAGTGGGAGGTACATTAATAAGATGATCTATTCAAGAAATAGATGACGCTGCTTGAGTTTTACAGATTAAGGGCCCATTGACACCTAGGGTGCTTCAGTAAAGTGTGCAGTAACACTGGCTTTATCATATTGCACTGCATCGGGTTGTGTACAGCATTGCCCTTAATTTTGAATGGCACCCCAACACACATACACAACACACCTATGCTACAGCACCCTGCAGAGCACCAGAACGCAGGATTTGGGTTGAGGTACATTACAATGAAAAAAGGCAGGATCAGTTAGTTCCATTATTAAATCTGTATGTAATTCTGATTCATATGTAACAGAATACATTTTTGGATTATGAGCTCCAGTAAGAAAGGAACACATATGAATAGTCCATTATTTTCCTGTAAAAGTGCTATGGAATATACTGACTTGATATAAATAAATAATGTTTTTTCAACTAGCAAGACCAAACAATCCCTGGACTTAATATGTGGTATACAGAGCCCAACTGAAAACTGAAAATGGTTCTTTCTGGGGGTTTTTCCCCAAAACACTGGCTAACAAAAAGCTTGCACGGTGGGATGACCATTCTACCACATAGCTTAAACCTTGTGGTTACCATTGTCATCCATTAACTGGAAAAGGCAAATACTGGCAGGGTCAACAGTTATTTATAGATACGTATTAATTGAAGAATTAAAGGAGAACTATGGGGTTAAGGCTTTTCCCCATAGTTCTCCTTAGGGTAACGGGAGGACACAAACTAGTGTCCTCCCGTCACCCTAGGCTCAGTATACCGTGAGCTGTAGCTCGCGGTATACTGAGACGCCGCAGTATACCGTGAGCTGCTGCTCGCGGTATACTGAGACGCCGCAGCTGAAGCGTATCCCGACAATTATGTCTGGATCCGCCCAGCTACGTAACTGACAGCTGGCTCTGCCTATCTAGAGGCAGAGCCAGCTGTACCCGCCCCCTCCCCCGTCCGTTCCGCCAGTCAGCGCTGGCGGATCGTAGCTGGGGGAATCCAGCCCCTACCCTGTCACGGCAGAGAGCCAAGACAAGATCGAGAGGTGAGCGAATGCCGGTATGTGTTCGCTCACCTCCCGATCTACTAAGCCGACCTGAGACAGTCTCATTGTCACAGGTCGGCTAGAACTATGAGGTGAGTGAAAAGCACTCACCTCATAGTTCTCCTTTAAAAAAAAAGTTTGCAAAGGAATTTTGAAAATGATCAGTTTACAGCAAATATTTTTTTGGGGTTTAGAAACACTATAGGGAAACTGCTCATCTCTGGCAGCATTGTTGATCCCTTGTTTACATTTATTTGTAGTTTGACTAATGGACAGCAGAAAAAAAGCACTTTAGTAATTTTTGGTGTGATTTCTTTTTTTCCTCCTAGGTTTGTCAGAAATCTGGTGAAATATCTCTTCTTAAACAACAGCTGAAGGATGCCCAGGCTGAGCTGGCCCAGAAATCCAATGAAATATTACTGCTTCGTTCCCAGCTGAGAGAAGCTCGATCTGACCTCCAGGTCAGTGAGGAACAAGTGCAAGAGCTGCAGGACACAACGCATACAAAGACGCTGGAGCTAGAGGTGTGCGAGAACGAACTACAGCGCAAAAAGAACGAAGCTGAGCTGCTACGAGAAAAGGCCAGTAAGCTGGACCAAGAAGTAGCTAGCCTCAGGGAGGCTGCCATAGCTAACCTTCGACACGGGCTGGGCCATTGCCAGGAGAAGGAAGACCCATTCTTGGTTTATGAAAGCGACGAGGCCAAAGCACAGCGCCAAAACGCGGACAACCTGCAGGGCTTAAAACAGTACATGGAACGGCTCAGGGAGGCTTTGGTAAGCGAACGCAGGAGAAACCAAGAACAAACCGAAAGCTTTGAGGAAGAGAGGCGCATATGGCATGTGGAAAAAGAGAAGGTGATCCGATATCAAAAGCAGTTACAACACAACTACATTCAGATGTACCAACAGAACCGTGAGCTGGAGAGGGACATTAAACAGATGTCACTAGAACTTGAGGCAAGGGAGCTTGATGACTTTGATTTACACGGTGCAGAGATTCAGTTTGAGGAAATCACAGCCACAGAAATTTAACACCAATAACACACCGCAAATGCCTTTCCCTTGGACCTCTGGTTGGTGTTGCCAAAAAAAAAGCAAATTATCCTTGGAAGTTGTTGCAATTATTGCGTAAAATGAACTTGGTTTTATATTGACAGGAAAACAAACGTTTGCCAGAAATGGCATTGTGTTACTAGTTTTGTGAGGTAACTTCCAATATCAGTCTGAGAAGCCATACACACATGCACACCCTTGTACACACGCGTTTTGCTAGGCATGGCTAAAGGACCAAAGCAATGTCAATGAACAGTGCACACGGAAAACGGACCTTTCTGTGTTGTCATTTCCCTTCCGTTCTCAGGACAGCCATATTGTCTCCTTCACTTCATATCTCACAGCAGAAGAGGATTCTGAGTAATGACATAAAGCGTGCTTCCACCAGACAAAAAGCTCATTGTTTTTTGATTTTGAGTACACTGCAGACCTGTTCTATTGCTCTCTTATTTTGTTGCTATTAATGATAGCCTAGCCATATTTTGAATGTTATCCGTGACATGTAACTGCCACCATTATGTTTATGGCCACACATAATTAACGCAGAGCCTCCTTTTATGTGTAGTCTTGTATATAATGTAAAATAAGAGTTTTTGTTCCCCAAAGCAAAATAACTGGTTTTGTACAAATGATAACTAGCACCTTCTCTCTCTCTGTTTGACAAGCATAGTCGCTTTCAATCTCAGGTAGGCAACTTGCTAGAGCACAAGCATAACGGAAACGTCAAATAATACCATATGCAATAAATAAGACTGTTCATTCTCTTAGTTGTAAGCAAGGTGACAAGTTTATGACAAGCCTTTCTGACAACGAAGAGAATTAGAATGTTATCCAGACTTTTGGGGTCCTGCCTTTAATCACCTCATGCAATTGCAATAGCATTTTATGAATCCTGAATAAAATAATTCTGTAACACAAACGCTAGATACACTGTATGGACAAAATGTTTGTGGACAGCTGACCATCACACACATATAAGCCTATTGGACATGCCCTTCCAAAACCAAGGGCACATTAACAAGTAATTGCCCCATCTTCCACCTTTGCAGCTATAACAACCTCCACATGATTTTGTGCCTATTTAATCTAAAGAGCATTTGAAAGGTCAGATACTGATGTTCGATGAGAAGACCTGACTTGAAATTGGCATTTTAATTCATCCCAACAATGTTTAATAGGGTTGAGGTCTGGGCTCTGTGCAGGCCCCTAGAGTGCCTTCAAACCAAGTTTTTAAGGAGCTGGCTTTGTTCACAGGGGCACAGCCATACTGAAACAGAAAAGGGTCTTCCCCAAGCTGTTCCCACAAGGTTTGAAGTGCACAGCGGTCTAAAATGTATTTGTATGCTGTAGCTTTAACAGTACCCCACACTGGAAACATCTGAACTAGATAATTTGGAGGGACATCCACATGCCATATAGTGTTGATGTGTCGGCAGGTGTGCAGAAAATGTTTGGCCATACAGTATATTTGAACTTTTTATTTACAAATTCTTTAACTGATATAAATTGGTGAAATTACATTTTGAAAGTGAGATTGGTGTTTAAATACACAGTTAAAATACATGAATAGAATCTGGCAAAGGAACGTACATGTACAGCCTCTCTGACCCTACTTTATAACTTTGCTGCACAACTCAAAAGCAGGTACTGTTATTGGTGTAGGGGGACTGGTGTGGGAACCCTGATTCATTGTGGCAATGCTGTTGCACCCATTCTCAGACATGAGCACATGTGTGCTTTCCATGCTTCATCTTGGGTAAAAAATCAACGGTATTTGCACATTGACAGTTGTCCTGTCTATTGGAGGTATACTACACACTACTACAGTGCTTCCCAGATCTTATCATCAAGAACCACCAACAGGTTATGTTTCTAGACTTGCTGGAGTTTTAAAGCTTTGTTGAAAACAGAGTAAGGGCTCATTCATACTAGCCAGCACACTAAAACCCTCAGCTTCAGCATGTGGGCTAGAGTGGTGTGACCGGTCTGGTGAGTGTGCGGTGTGATGCATCACACTGTTTACTTTATTGTACACTCCATTCAGGTCCCCACACTGCAGCAAGGTGTACTGTGCTGTGGTACCGTAACCTGCTGTGACACCATGCGCTGCTAAAGAATGCGACATCTTTGTAACAGTGCACCACACGGCTTATCTGTGAACCTCACTGTGAACAATTGGTTTCTACGTGCCCTAGTGATGACCGACATTGTTCAGTTGCTGAAAAACTGCAGTCACTGCAAACAGTGTGAACAAGCCCTTAAAGAAGCACAATTATTATTTCACCTGTGATTGTATCAGGGAACAAGGAAAACATGCAGTTCTTTGTATGTGGACATGGGTGGACAGTAGACCTTAACGTGTAACGTAAAATCCGCAATTGATATTTTAGTTTGTTTGGCATCATGTGTCACTGTAAATGGTTTTCTTAAAGGAGAACTATGAGGTGAGTACTTTTCACCCCCCTCATCGTTCTAGCCGACCTGTGACAATGAGACTGTCACAGGTCAGCTCAGTAGATCGAGAAGTGAGCGAACACATACCGGCGTTTGCTCACCTCTCGATCCTGTCACAGCTCTCTGCCGTGACAGGGGAGGGGCTGGATTACCCCTCCCCAATCTGCCAGTGCTGACTGGCGGATCGGATGGGGGAGTGGGCGGGTACAGCAGGCTCTGCCTCTAGATAGGCAGAGCCAGCTGTCACTCAAGCAGCTGGGCGGATCCAGACATAATTGTCGGGATCCGCTTCAGCTGCGGCGTCTCAGTAGCTCGCAGTATACTGAGGTTAGGGTGACGGGAGGACGCCAGTTTGTGTCCTCCCGTTACCCTAAGGAGAACTATGGGGAAAAGCCTTAACCCCATAGTTCTCCTTTAAGTAAATCATATTTTTAATCTATTGCAAGGTTTCTTACTTAATAGTAACATCACTTCCTGTTGTGAACTGACAACCAAACCACTGCCTTGCTACAGCATTGTCAACCTTCTGTTTAAGCTCTTCCAGTTGGCCATTGGGTTGTCTATCTGATGGGCAATCAAATAGCCAACTGTAAAAGTGCACATGACATGCTGACAACGCTTCTGCTGATTGCAAGGTAGTGGTTTATCAATGTCAGCCTGCAACAAGAAGTGCCATTATAATAGAATCTCGAGGTAAAAAACATTGCAATAGATTTACAAAAAATGTTGCTGTTGTGTCCATATTAAAGATTACTACTACTTCTTCTAATCTGGTAACGATGCCACTGGGGAAAAGAGTATGGAAAATATGTCTAACAGGGCCACAAATGGCAATAAACATGATAGGGTTCTAACCATTCCTTGCTTCATAAAAAGCTTTAAGATTCTCTATTGACTTCAGAGGGCAGACACCCTCCTTTGGGTGATCACAGGACACTATTAACTTGAATCAGCTGAACTTACAAGTACTTACTATGGAAAGGAGACGAGTGGAAGAGGGAATGACACCCAGGAGGAGAGGTTTAGTCTATTGTACAAAGCAGTGCATGGTGCAATTTTTTATGTATACAATGGGGTGACCTATAATAGCAGTCAGATTTCAGCTTGCTAAAGTCACATCAGATGTTCTGCAATTTGCTACACATTGTGCATACTTCCTGCATATTGCTACGATTGTAGCATAGGGTTTGACATATTAAATATGCCTGAATAAATCCAAAGATCATATTTTTCTGTGGCTTTCATTGTGTATTTTTCTGTGAATTTAATACGTCCTGCAGCTACTGCTAAGGTGTAATTTCACTATTAGATTAATGCAGACAACACAAAATGCTGTTGCAATCACATGCCATGGGTTACCAACTGGGTAGTGGGCATTGTCTTCGAAAAGGTAGAATTATCTTGTAAAGCCAATAAGTGTTACTTACCCCCATGCACTATAGGTTATTTGTTAGTGAATCTAATAAAACCTGGTCCACCCCAGGACTGTATCAAATATTGCCTGGAATGTTTCTTCTGTGTACTTTTATTTTCTTTTATATTTTCAGACCAGTTTAACTTGATTTTAGTTAATAATGAACCCTCGACTATTAGCCTCATACAAGTGTTTTTCTGCTCCTTGTACTACATAGTACATTATATTGGTACTGGACAATTTCTGGGACCCTTGTAGTTCTTTACCTTAAACAGAGTGTGGTTTTTCTTGTAGAGCGATGGTGTATAGCAGTTTTCCTCCCACAGCTGTATGCACTTTGCTGCAGAGATACAGTACCCAGGCCAGTTATGGGTTAGGGCCCTAAATGCAGCACAATCCTATCATGTCATTTGTAAATCATGGTTTATACAATACTTTATTACCTAACTTAGCCACGATATTAAAAATAGAATTGATGATAATGGTTTGTAAAAAAAAAAAAAAAAGGATTTTCCATAACCAGAGAACCATGGAACCATAAAACCTAGGGATGACAGGGGTGTGCCAGGAACAATCCGGCTGGGGAGGAAAGACTAGGTGCTGCTGGAAACGAATTGGGTGCCATCTAACTTGCTGCAGCTTCTGATGCACCATATGCGAAGCCCGCTGTAAGTAGGCAATCGTACTACAGAAGAGAAGAGGAGCCTGTACAACTGTGGAAGACACAAGGTAAGACTGGAGTCCAACTTTAAGTGGATCCCATTGTTGGGCATGCAATAATTCTACGTGTAATTGAGGTGAAACCTCACTTTATAGTTCCTGTGTGACGAACATAGAGGGAACCAATACAGGAAAGGCCACTTCTTGCACAGTAAGGAGTACAGCAGGTGCACAGCCCAAATCACATCGTAACTCTCCAGCTGATGTTACTCTGATGCCATTTACATGAATGGGATTCAACCCTTTAGGCCCCATTCACACCTGACCATTTTGTAGCGCATCCTACGCTCGACGAACGCGCTACAAAACGGTCAAAAAAATAAATAGCATTGTAGTCAATGCCCTCGTTCCCACCTAGGCGTATTTCCGCCCGTCCCTAACGCCCTACAAAACGGCCCATGCCTGAAAAGGTCCCGGGACTACTTTGGGCCGTTTTGTAGGGCGTTTTCCATTGGGATACAGCGAAGTAGCCTTTGGAATCGCGCGAAGGTCGCACAACTTTTTTACCGCGAATCGCGGAAAAAAAAACGCGTGACGGTCGCGCGACAGATGTGCATATTACAATACGCCTAGGTGTGAATGGGGCCTTAGTTTGCACAGATCATACAGATAGATGCTTGCTTAGTATCCTTTTTGTTTTTGTAGAAAAAAACATTCCGTTTTGTTCTTGGGTTTAGATACCCCTAAACTAAGCCCATGTTCTGTATATTCACTCTGTCCTGTGCTGGGAGCTTGTGCTGTACCTCTTGTGTTGTGTCCTTACATCTCAGTGCTGGAAGAAGATGATTTTGAAAAAAAGAAAATGAACCTACTTTTTTTGTTGACTGAGACCACGCATTTTGCTTAATATCTCCACAGGAACATTTACTGTAGGTTTGTATTTCTTTACCGCTGTGTACTCTTCCAGCTTCTTGTAAGACACAGATGTGCTGGATGAAGCTACTGTGGTTGCATTGAAGATTCAATGACGTAACACCCCCCTATCAGTGATTTATTTTTTCTGCAGTGTCTGTATCACATCAAAGCCTTGATTATCCCCTAGGGATTCTTTAGTTACTGGGGTAAGCTTTTTCACATTATGGAATTATTGATCTGAAGTTGCGCACACACGCTGGCAGGGAATGAATATGATGAGGTAATTGCAGTGAGGTTACCTGTC